CTTTGTATAAAAGTCTTCAGGGCCTGGATGCCCGGCTGAGCCATTTGTCAGGTGGTTACGTGTCCTTTGTCCAGTTCTTCCAGAGAAATCACCTGTGTCTCTGCTGGATCTGATAACGAGGTACGGTGGCCACACAGAACTCACGGACAGTATTCACCAGGTTTATTAGGGAAGTAACCGGTTACAATTCAGGACCAAATGTGACTCAGGATACAGTTCTTTGATTAGGACAGCCTTCTTTCTCTGTGCTATTTGGACAAGTGTTAGAGAACTCGATAAATGCCCAGTTCCATGGGTCAGCAAACCTACTTCCACCAAGTGCCTAGAGGAATCCCACCCTTCTCAATCTGTGGGCCAGGAAGCCCACCGCGCCGTTTCCTGCCAGTCTGCTGGCTCTGCTACCGCCATTTCTCTGCCATGGTTTCTCGATGTCTCTCACCATCTCAGCAAGATGTTACAGCTCCCTCTGTTTCCTGGGTGGAGGAGGTTCTCAATGCAAGGATCACTGGTTCCAAAGGGCACACTTTATTCCTGGATCTTCTTTCTTGGTTGTCATGAAGCGCCCCCTTGCCACCTCTGGGATAGCAAAACCAATCCTTTTGTTAGGATTCCATACACCTTACTTGTATGATCCCACCCCTACAAGTTACCATGCACCTTATTTACATTATTAGGAAGCTATCCAATACCCTTGATGGACCACAAGCACCTCACATTTACATAGTCCTACCCCATTCTGGAGGAGCTCTGGTAGCGTAGTGGTTACGAGTCGGGCAGTTCAAAACTACCAACAGTTCCACAGGCGAAAGATGAGGCTTTCTACTCCCATAAAGATTTACAGCCTCAGAAACCCTATACAGGGCCACTATGAGTTGGAACCGACTCCACGGCACATCACCACCACCACCGCCACCCAGTTCTGGTGGAGTGCTGGTGTGGCGCTATGGACTAATGTGTCAGACTGAAAAGTCATTTGAACTACAAGGTCAGTGGTTCAAGCTCACTAGCTGCTCCTTGGAAACCCTATACAGGGTCACTATGTGTCAGAATCAACTAGACAGCACTTAACAACAACACCCAGTTGTGGTGTGGCGCTGTAGGATCAGCTCTTGATTATACTAACCATAATGTTGGTGGTTCAAACCCACCAGCTGCTCCTTGGAAACCCTATACAGATTCACTATGAGTCAAAACTGACTTCACAGCACTTAACAACAGCTTAACAACAACCCAGTCATTTGGTGGGAGTCACAGAGACTGTAACTAGAAGGACCTTCATAAGTAAACTCACCACTCCACAACAATGAAAGACATGTCTTCTTTGACAGACCCATGTGAGCACCTACTGTATGCCAAGCCCTGGGCAACAGCAGTAAGTGACCCAGACTGGTCCCGTCCCCACAAGGCCTGCATTCTCCTGCTCAATATGCTTTCTTGACAAGAAGACTTAGTTCATTTTGTCTCCCAGGACATCTCCTTTTGGGTTCTCTTTTCTACCTGTAGACTCTTGGGGATGTTCTAGAACACAGGTTTGTCTTTTCTAATGTGGTCTGTAGGTGTCTCGTCAGTTTCCGCGGCTGTTGAAGACATACATCTTGAGACTGAGTTGCATGAACCTAAATGTACCTGTTGTTTCAGGACAGCAGGTACGGCTTAGTGGCACTCTTGTACCAAAAGAAAATAATTGGTCGTTGAGAAGCATACTGTTTATTTGTCTTACATAGTGAATAGTGGTGGTGGTGGTGGTTATATGCCGTGGAGTCGGTTCTGACTCATAACAACCCCGTACAGGGCTTTCGAGGCTGTAAATCTTAACAGGAGCAGAAAGCCTCATCTTTCTCCCCGGAACAGCTGGTAATTTTGAACTACTGTTCTTGAGGTTAGCAGCCCGATTTGTAACCACTACACTACCAGAGCTCCTTGTGAATAGTAGCCTATGTTTTTAAGGATGATTTTCTGCCTCCAGGGACCCTGCAGTTCATTCAGCGTCCTACTGAGCTGTCTATCTCCAGTCCCAAAAGGGTGTGGGTGGGTGGGGTCATGAAGAGCCAGGACAGTGAGACCCTTTGCCCTGTTATCTGAAGGAGCGCGGCAGTCAGTCTCGTCCCCTGGGAGTGACCCTGAGCTCTCCTGTTCCTGACTTGGAAACTCCTAGAAGCCGCTGAGAGAATCTCAAAATGAAATGTAAAAATCCACACTTATGGGACGTCTTTACCATCGCTGGTATGCTTGAAGTAACTGATTCCAACTTAGGGGGGTCATCTTCCAGCACTGTATCAGACAATGTTCTGTTGGGATCCATGAGTTTTCATTGACTAATTTTTGGAAGTAGATCACCAGGCCTTTCTTCCTAATCTTAGTCTGGAAGCTCAGCTGAAAACTGTTTACCATGGATGATCCTGCTGATACCTGAAATACCTGTGACATAACTTACAGCATCACATCAACATGATGTGATGGACGAATGGACAGTGGAGGTGGTGGCCCACACTACAGCCTCATATGGAAAAAAACAAAAAGTACAATTGTAACTATGCTTGTCAAATTTACAGAATAAAAGACTGGAAGGAAATCCCAAGCTTTTACAAATCCATAGATTCAAGAAAATAGAAGTGTTTGTTTGCATTTGCTTTTGACTTTCCCCTGAGTTAGGTAAATCCTCATACCACAAGTTAACTGGCTTTTCAAATGAGACCAAAATGTTCTCTCTTACTTCTAGGCCATTTTCCACAATGCAATCATGTTTTTATCCCTTCTCAAGGGGTACCATGGCAACTGAGAGTGACCAAGCCATGTTGCAATGGGGATGGGGGAGCAATCCCTGCTTGGCACACAGAACAAGACAGGTTCAAATTTATTCTTCAGTCATGTGATGTGTCCTGTCTGCCCTGAACTTTGGAGTCACTTGTAACTGGTCAAAATTCCAAAGCCTCATCTTTGTATATTAACTGGAATCTCTGTATATTAACTTTTGTAGGCCACAGTGTTCATAATTGTCAGAGAGAAGGAAAGGTTAAAAAAAAAAAAAAAAAGAAGGTGACCGTCACTCAATTCACAGTAAAAGTTTTAAAAAAAAGGAAATGAAGGTGATCTAGAAGTTAGCAAAGGTAGAAGATTATACTAGAAAATAAATTTTAAAAGGTTAAAAATAAATTAATGGACTATTTTTTACAATCCTTCTGTAAGTCTATAACAATGCCAAAACAAAAAGTTGAAACATTAATTAAATGAAAGCTTAAATCTGGGGTGAAAATTTTAAGGTAAAAATAATGAACTAGAACTAATAATAATCGTGAAGTTGCTGTTGTTAAGTGCTGTCTAGTCAGTTCCAGCTCACGACAACCCTGTATAGGGTTTCTGAGGAATGGTTGGTGGGTTTGAACTGCCGACCTTGTGGTTAGCAATCCAGTGACACATCAGGACTCGAATAGTGGCATAATGAATAATGAAGCCAAACTCACTGCTATCGAGTCAATTCTGACTCACAGTGACCCTATAGGGACCATTCCATAGGGTTTCTGAGGCTGTAACTCTTTACGGAAGCAGACAGCCTCATTTTTCCTCCCACAGACCTTTTGGTGAACTAATACATGGATGTAAAATAAATTACAACATAGACAGTTGACAACTTTAAAGGATAACGAATAAAATCAAGATCAAAATGATTAAAGGAAGGAAGTGAAAGTAACTAGAACAGGGGAGTTTAAAAAGGTAAGGATAAAAAGAAATAAAGTAAAAAATAGGAACATGCTGGTTCTGTGGGATAAATACAGGACTGCGAACCACAGAATAGGCAGGTTCAAGCCCACCAGCCACTCCACGAGAGAAAGATGAGGCTATCTGCTCCTGCCTCAGGAATCTAACACACGGTCGTGATGACTTGGAACGGACTCCACGGCACTTAAAAATAATAACAAAATAGAAAGTAAACACGATGAGAAAATAGATCATTTAAAAGGAAAATACCAAGTTAAAAATGTTAAGTGCTGTCGAGTTGTTTCTGACTCACAGCATTCCTGTACAGGATTCCCGAGACAGGAGCAGACAGTCTCACCTATCTCCCGCAAAGCCCCTGGTGGGCTCACACTGCCAACCTTGTGGTTTGCAATCCAGTGCTTAGCCTAAGAGCATTTATTGTTGTTAAGTACGCGTAAAAGAGTTCAATTCAAAGTATAAAAATGTAAAATAACGTGATAAACCAAAGCAAAGTGGCATATTTAAAAATCCAGAAATTCAAGTTACTTTTAAAATAAAGAAAAATATATTCTAAATAAAGACAAAGATGAAGAACAAGAAAATGAGTGTCCAGCAGGCTCTGTTGAGCTAAAGCAGCATCTCCCAACTTGGGGAAGGCACATTGCTCTTCAGTCCCAAAACCTAACACCTCACACAGGACCCTCTTCATGACTTACCAGGCCTCCAGGAGAGACATCCTGGGCATGCTCACCTGAGGGTCCTAGTGGACCCTAGTAAGTGAAGGACACAGCCCTGACCTCCAGAGAGGCCCTCTGATCTCGAACCTGAGGGAATCATGATGGCCAGGTCAAGAGTTGGTCTTGATGCACGTTTGCTATGTGAACCATCATTTACTTCTCTGTCCTTCATTTTCCTTCCGGAAAATACCCATCTGGTGCCTTCCTTCTTTATAAAAACAACTCTTCTAGTCAGCACCATTTATTTTGTAATGAAGTGGAAGGAGTGCCTGGCTGGGGATAATAAGAAGTCAGGCTGGCTGAACCTGCCTACCATGGTGGTTTTGAAGCTGGACTGAGGTGACGCACATAAATGTAAATAACACTTGGGCAAGCATGGAGTTGTTGGGGGTGAGGTGGGGTTAGAGAAGGTGAAGCTTCTGCCTGTTGTGAGCTGGGGAGGGGGCACCTGCCTCTCTCTGCCCCCCGCTTCCGTCCCCAGAACTCCTGGGGATTTGCTTAGGTCCCACAGCTGGATGGCAGCCCTCATCCTCCCGTCTTCCTTCTCCAGGTGAGCTTTGAACCAGGATGACTGAGCCACGCCAGGAGTTCAACGTGATGGAAGATCATGCTGGGACGTATGGGCTCGGGGAGAGGAAAGATCTCTCCTCTCAGGGGGGCTACACCCTGCTGCAGGACCACGAGGGTGACATGGACCATGGCCTGAAAGGTTAGTGAACAGCCACACACACCATGTCCAGGGTGCTTTGGGGATTAGTCGGCCTGCTTGCTTTGGAGAGGTTGGCAGGCTTGATTCAAATCCAGATTTTAAAAGGCCTTGTAAATAGCTCCATTGTGTTGGATTGTCCAGCAAGTGAAACCTCATGCATCTGGATGAGCCAAGATAACTCAACATTTTGAAATTATTTGAAAAGTTACTTTTCCAAAGGAGTTTGCCAAATGAGCGAATGTGGAATGAAAAGATTGCAGGGGGCCTGATTGCCTAATTAACACGGGCTCTGGCGTGTAGCCACACTGTTAACCTCCACTGACTTGCAAAAGACATGGCTTCTTATGCATGCAAAACTCATTATTTTATCTCTTCCTTAAATCAACCTTGTTGTCATTATTGGATTCCATCCAGTGGGTTCCAACTCATAATGACCCCACGGGACACAGTAGGGTTTCCTAGGCTCTAAAGAGCCCTGGTGGCACTGTGGGTTAGGCATTGGGCTGCTAACCATCATGTCAGTGGTTCAAACCCACCAGCTAGCTGCTCCACAGGAGAAAGGTGAGGCTGTCTATACCCATAAAGATTTACAGTATTGGAAACCTTATCCAGAATCACTATGAGTTAGAACTGAGCCCTGGTGTAGTGCTGTAGGATAAGCACTGGACTGCTAGCCATAAGGTCGGCAGCTCAAACCCACCAGTCACTCTCAGAAATCCTATACAGAGTCAGTCGCTATCAGTCAGAAGTGATTCCATGGCACACAACAACAACATGAGTCGGGACAGACTCAATGACAGTCCGTTTGATTTGGGATTAATCTTTACAGCAGCAGATCACCAGATTTTTTCTCCCCAAAAGTGATTGGTGGGTTCAAACCACTAACATTTCAGTTAGCAGACCAGCACTTATTCATTGCACCACCAAATCAGGCCTATCTGGCCCCCATTTGGCAAGAGTTGGGTCACTGTGGATTCTATAGATGTTCAAATTAATAAGCTGCTTCAATTACTAAATGTTTTATAATACTCACACAGTCGTTTGACCAAAATGGCAGGGCCTCCTCCCCTTCCCTGCCGCCCCCCACTTCCAAATCAAGGGCTTCATTTCACTGTCTGACCACCATGTTTGGAGACCCCAGTGGAGCATACGGCAGCTTCTCTTCACATCCTGTGACCAACCTTTGAGTCAATGAGGAAAGCAGGGCCCACACTAGCCTGGTGTAAAAATTAAAAACGCATGTTATACATTCTACAAAGTAACTGCCTGACGTTCTTCAAAATTACTGAGGTCATGAAAAAAAAAAAAAAGACTAAGTAGACATCAAAGCAAAATGCAGTGTGGGATCCTGGCCCCGATCCTGACATTATTGGGGCATCGGTGACATTTGACTAAGATCTGTAGATGCACTGATGATATTGTATCCAGATCATCAAACTAATCATCAAACTAAGGTGATGTAACATGTTCACATTTGGGAGCCCTGGGCAAAGGGCATGAGAGAAACTTTTGTACAATGTTTGCAACTTTTGAGAGGTCTAAGATTGTTTGAAAACTAAATATTTTGTATTTTTAAATATACTTACATATATGTATAGGGAGAACACGATACAGGATCGCTGAGTAGAAATCAACTCAAGGGCACTTAACAACATATACATAGATATTTTCAACAAAAGTATCATAAAACTGTACAATGTTAATGTTGTTGTTAAGTGCCGTCGAGTCGGTTTCAACCCATAGTGACCCTGTACTGGGTTTCCGAGGGTGTAAATCTTTACGGGAGTAGAAAGCCTGATCTTTCTCCCGCAGAGCAGCTGGTAGTGTCGAACCGCTGACCTTAAGGTTCGCAGCCCGATTCGTAACCACTACGCTACCAGAGCTCCTTACAATGTTAATAGTGGGGGAAATTGAAAGTGGGCTGTATGGGAGCTTTCTGTACTATCTTTGTAATTTTTCTGTAAATAGTTGTCCTAAAATAAAAAGCTCATTTCAGAAAAATCAGGGTTTTTATAAATGGTGATTTTTTAAAAAAATGGTTTTTACCACCCTTACTTTTTGAAAGGGAAATGAAATTTAATTTGTCAAATAAAAACATGTTTACCAATTTACTTGTTTCCCCAAGTATATTTGTTAAAAGAGTTTTCAGCAAATATAATCAAGAATCTGGCAATTCTTTAACATAAAACATGATCAGAAGTTGTATGCAAGAGATTCTGTGTGTGTGTGTCCATGTATATATATCTACCGCTTGTCTGACAGTCTGTCGTACTTTGGCGGCTTACATGTGGCTGTAACACTGGAAGCTATGCCACTGGTATTTTAAACAGCAGCATGGTACACCCATGGTGGGCAGGTTTCAGCTGATCTTCCAGACTAAGACAGACTAGGAGGAAGAAGAGGTGATGAATAGCAGTGGAACGTTACCAGATAACACCAGAATATTGAATACTGAAACATGATGACTAGCCCTAGAATAGTGTCTGGATTGGCATAGTGGCACCAGCAGTGGGCCCAGGCTTAACAGTGATTGTGAGGATGGTGCACAACCAGGCAGTGCTTCGGTCTGCTGTGCATAAAGTCACCATGAGTCAGAACCGACTCGCTGGCACCTCACAACAACAACAACAATAAACATACGTTAAGTGCCGTTGAGTCGATTCCGACCCATAGCGACCCTGTATGGGGTTTCCAAGGAGCAGCTGGTGAGCTCGAACCGTCCACCTTGCAGTTCAAACGGCTTTGCAGTCTGACGCATTAGCCCACAGCACCACACCAGGACTATATATATACATATACATATACATATACATATACATATACATATACATATACATATACATATACATATACATATACATATACATATACATATACATATACATATACATATACATATACATAAGGAGCTACGACTCGGGCTGTGAACCGCAAGATCAGCAGTTCGAAACTACCAGCTGTTCCACGGGAGAAAGATGAGGCTTTCTGCTCCCGTAGGGATTTACAGCCTTGGAAACCCTGTACAGGGTCGCTGAGTCAGAACCGACTCCACGGCACTTAACAACAACAACAACATATATATATATACACATTTATATAGAAAAAATTTTAATGATGATATTTTTGTAACTGCTGTGAAAGAAAAGCATTTTAAGATCATTTGTTTATCCAAAGACTATGCTTCCCAAGAAAGCAAGTGATACCTAAGAGATTTTCATCATGCTTATGACATTAGCTCTTGATACTGGGGATTTAGAATGAGTTATCTTTGTACATCAGTGGTAACTTTGACTTGTCATTGGTGTCATCTTTATTTTAGATAAATGACAGTTCTTTTGAATAATAACAAGAAACCACATGTTATAGAACAAAGGGAGTGTGTTGTTGTTAGTTGCCACTGAGTTGGTTCCGACTCTGCACAACGACACAAAACGCTGCCCGATCCTGCTCCAATCTCACAATTGTTGTTACGCTTGAGCCCATTGCTGCTGCCACTGTGCCAGTCTATCTCCTGGGGCGGGAAGGAGGGGGGATCATCTTTTTCACTAACCCTCCACTGTACCCAAGCATGATGCCCTTCTCCAGGGACTAGTCCCTCCTGATAACACGTCCTGAGTAAAAGAGAGTATTGTTGTTGTTGTTAAGTGCCGTCGAGTCGGTTCTGATCCATAGCGGCCCTGTATAGGATTCCTGAGGAGCAGCTGGTGAGTTTGAACTGCTGACCCTGTGGCCAAGTGCTTATCCTGCAATGCTGCATCAGGACTCTTCCCAGGAGCCTAAGTGCAGTGAAAAGTTTGGATAGGGCTGACACAGACAGAAAGAGCAAAAGATATTTCTTATTGTTAGTTGATAAAATAATGTGCCCTGATGAATTCATGACATCCCTGAGTGACTCAGATGGTAAGTGCTCAGCTATTAAAACAAAAGGTTGGTTGTTCAGATTCATCCAGAAGAAAGGTCTGGCAATCTCCTTGGAGATCATAACCACTGGAAATTCTGTGGAGCACAGTTTGACTCTGACACATACGAGGTCTACCCAACAACAGACTTTTTTTAAATGAATTGATAAATGTTGAGAGGTTAACTTGTAACTTAACAAGGAAAATGTAACCTAGGAAGCCTGCAAATGATGGGGGG